CTTTACGTTTTATATATGATGCGATATATATATTTTTTATATCATTTTTTCAGACTAACAAAGTCCATTACTAAAACCGTCAGATATCTTTGACTGAAAAATTTTAATTTCATAGTCGCAACTGTTTTATATAAAAAATATCAAACGTTTATCACACTCGTCATCGTCATCTCGAGCCTAAAAAGATTTTGAAGTATCGCGAATTATTGGTATTGTGTAATTACGGGCAATACGATTCGTATATGATTTGTCATAAATTGATAAATAAGTATATTAGAATTGTTTTTCTCGTAAGAGAGCAGAAGAAAAGTCAGCGCGTAAGAGCAAACTCGAAAGAGCAAACCGGCAACATTACGTCAAACAGTTCAGTTTTCCGCCGAGACGTCAGAGTTCATATCATAACATCGTGCATGAACTTTACCTCGCATGTAGAATGCACGTGATAATAGCGGGATAAACAGACGATTTTTCGACACAATAGTTACGCCAGCCAGCGTAATGAAAAGCGCCATGTCGTGTTATGCGCCTATACTATGGATGATTTATGTTTCAACTCAAGTAACTGAACTAAATACTTTAGTTTTTATATTTGTTCGACCGTGTTTTTCGATGCAATGGCTGCGTTCAGCAGAAAAAGCAGCTTTGCAACTGTTGTAAAATTCTTTAATATGATTGATTCTTGCCCTTAGTTCCTGCCGGATCTAAATGTATAAACCAGTCATATTAAAGAATTTTACAACAGTTGCGAAGCTGCTTTTTCTGCTGAACGCAGCCAATGCATCAGCACCGTAGACTTTAACGGCATAAATGAAAGCTTCGAGTATCTTTGTTTAACGCGCTGATTAAAATTTATAATGAATTAACGAAAACGAAGTTGTGTTGAGAATGGATATGGCAGTTTAAAACAAGATAACTTGCGATCACTCGATACGAGTACAATTGTGGATGTAGAGGAAGACATTCTACAAAGATAATCTTCTCTTAAAAAAAAAAAAAACTATGAATGAAGAAATGGCATATAATTATCTTTAATGGATCTTTTTTCTTCTCCGTGACCTAAAACTAAAAGAACTTTAAGAAAGTTATGAAAGTTATATGAATCAGTAGATAGATACTTTTGATTTATCAGCTATCTAGTTCCTAAATGTGTCTTGATTTGTTTAAGTCGCTTTCGTAAATAAATAATGGCATACCATGACATAAAATTTAATGACCATGTTTCAAGATAATGTGCAATCAAACGATACGCCAGATTAATTTCATGCTCGTATTTTTATATAAATTAATATTTTAATATTTTATATTTTATACAAAATTTGTTTTATTCATCTTCCTCTGCTTTTACACATTCGTCTCTTTCTAATAATATTCTAAATTTTTCGTGTTTATTTTTAGTTTAATAATATCGATCTAGCGATACTATTTAGATAAGATCTCGATAAAATTTACGTTTATCTGAATTAAAGACAATCTTTATGTTAGAAAAATAAACACAAAAAATTTAGAATGTTATTAGAAAGAGACGAATGTGTAGAAGCAGAGAAAGATGAATAAAACAGATATTGTAATAAAATATTAAATATTAAAAGACTGATTTTTTTTTAAGAATACGCGCATGAAGTTCATCTGGGGTATCGTTTGATTGTATATTTTCTTGAAACATGGTCATTACGATCAAGATGGCCTTTTTGTCATGTAATGCTTCGCGTAAAATCGAAGGAGAGAAAACACGTTCGCAAAAGCATCATAGCTAACTTAGGTTCAAGACGGGTTATCAGTTCTCAGGGGTAAAAAGTCATCTAATCTCCGAGCGAACGTCACACCGCTCGCGTGTCATTCGCTTTTCGTCGTTGGTCCATTCGATATATATATATAATCATTATAATATTCTTTTCGCTTCTTTCTCGCTCTGCCTGTTTACGCGCGCGTTAATCGCCCTCTATTTTTCTTCCTCCCGCGAGCGATTTTGCTCCCCCTCTAACATACTTCCGACGCAATTCCCGATAATCGAAAACGGTATAAATAGTCCGATTTGATGTTCCATCCCTTCGAGTGAACAGTGAAGAAGCAAACAAGCGGACGTTTCTTCTTTGGCGATTGGTAACGCGATTTTGTTCGCCTTATGTGCCTTCGTTTTTCGCATCCCTCTCTCGCGGCTCTCGTTTCCTTTTTTTTTTTGCATCCGGTGTCTTTTAAGTGTACGGTTTTCATCGGTGTTCCATCAAACGACTTCTTCTGCTGATCTGTCCATCTGGATTTCGTCTTTGATAACCACGATAAAATCTCTCTCTCGCGAAAGTAATTAGTGATTTTGGAAATTTCCAAGTGATTTCTGTGAGAACCGACGACGAAGCGTAAATGTGTTGAGACTTCTTAAAGTTCGAAAAAATTCTTTAATATTAACAAGTTTTTAATATTAGATCCTTTTAGTAAAAATTGTAATAAATGGGATGTAATCTCTAAATATTTTCTTGGCGCGTGACATATTTTATAGAGTATATATTTTAAAATGTATGTAATATATTTTTTAAAAAAGAAAATTTCTCTGATATTTGTTTCATAAAAAATGTGCGTTTTTTTTTTTGCAAAAATAGTTTGAATTATATTGTATATATATATTGCAGTTTCCTATAATTATTTTTCTAGCGCGTAGTGTTCTTAGTTATCTTCTTTGTCAGTAGACTGTTTACTATACACAGGATCTTATCGCAAAGAGGAGCGAACAGTTCAAAACCAGTTGCGTCCAGTTCGACCCCTTTCTTCCGGTTATTTCCAGTTCTAACTCGCATATCCATTTTTACAAACTACTTTCCAAGTATATATTTCGTTAAAATTTAGAAAATAAACAAGAAAAATTGTGTCATACTCTCCTGACCGCGATCAATGGCAGATCAATTTTCGCGAATTTCTCACAAAAATGATGAAGGTTTCCATAGTTAAGTTTTCACTGCCGCACGATCATAATTTCTTCTTTCAACTGTGAATACCCGTCGACATTTTGAACATTTTTGTCGATTTTTGAAAATGTGAGATTCTTTTAACGTCTCATTGAGAAAACGGTAATTCTGGTTACAGGAGCACAGCGTTCTACCCAAGTACAACACAAGAGTGTCCCCGGTCATCAGACCCACGCCATCCAATCCTGGGTCTGCTTTGGACTGCTCGTCCAACAGCACTATTGCGACAAACAGCAGTCCCTTCAACAGCCAAACCGCCCTCATCGCCGAAAAGAAATACTTCCCCGGCGAATCCGGCAAATCATCTGCAAACCACTACTATGCCGAGAATCTAAGAAATAATCATCAGAAGACCCTAAGCAGGTCGCGGATCTACAATCCGCTCGATAAAAATCAGGACGTCGATTACAAGCAACTTGATCCGCTGCTACCGAGTGAGCAGAGTTCAAGCGCCAAGATCTTCATGGATTCCCAGGAGATGAAACCACCGAAGGATGCGCAAGAGCCTATTCGAAACCGACCGTCCACGGAATTCCAGAAGAATACCAAGCCATCATGCTACACGCGGTACATCAGTCAAGTAAGTTTTATCTACTTTCTTGTTTTTGCATACATTTTATGTGAAATCTCCATTTTTCGGGGATCAATTCTTTGATCAATTCAAAGATGATTATATTTAAAAGTAACAAGGAATGAATATTGAAAACTTATATTTTAAAATATAATATTTTAACGTTTTTAACGTTTATCTTGAAAACTTTGTTTTGAAATATGATATTCAATTGGCAAGGCACAGAATGGTAGCAATATGAGAAATTTTAATTGAGATACTCGATAAAAATAAAAAATTGCAGATCACGCAAATCATTTCACTTGCAAGATAATTAATTTTTAATTATCGATAATTATCTAATTCGTAAGTTACTTGCAATTAACGGCTAAAGAGCCATTTGATATATTCGAGTACTGCAAACTGATGTGAATTACTATTTCCAATATATTACCGGTTAAAGCTTTTACATTCAATTATCATTTATCATTGACATTAGAACATAAAATGAATAAAAATATTATACATAATAAGTAAATAAATTTCAATTTATATTTATATCTAATATTATGCAAAACTATCAAGAAACTCCAATTAAAAATAGCTATAAATCAGGATTTTATCAAAGTTTGATTTACATTGTAAAAATTATATAGTTTCGAGATGGATAAACTCAAGCTACGTACCATTGTGATTAATTACAGATGAAAATTAATAATACGTGAAGAATTTTGCACGTGTGTTCTTTGTACATCATATAATCATCTATATGTATGTTTTCATGTGTGATATTGAGAAATTAATATATTTCAAATATTTATTCCTTTCACATATAATCATGCAACAAGATTAATTTTATAATGGATACAATTATGGCTTAACCGCGCTTGTTGATCAAAAGATTTCTTTGTCTTCCTTTTACCTTTCGATAGTCTCGTAAAATGCTAACTGATGCGTATTTAAGGATGCGCGAGTCCTACAGTAGTATGACCATGCGTGCAGTCCGCCAGATGCCCTAACGTCGATATCCCACGATATTCATTTTATATTGCGATATATAATACACTATATTACCTGTTTATGGTAATTATAGTAATCTTTGTCTGAAATTTTACTTAAAGAAAGCCTCGAGAATTTCAACAGATCAAAAATTAACATTTATGGAATCTATACTATACGAAAGAATTAGTACGGTAATTATATCTTTTTTTATTTTAATAAATTATAGTAAGCAAGGTACTTTCAAAATTACTCTATTTAGACTGAAAAAATTACTATTGAATTATAACATTAAATAACTCCTAAATTATTATTTATTAAGTAATACTTAAATAAGTAAGCAAAATATTGCTTGTAACATTATATATATATATATATATATATACAACATAGTTTCTTATTCGTTTGCTACTAAAATTGCGTATTAATTGCGTTGCAAAGAGGAATATTTTTGTATTAAACAAAGTTTTTAATATATTTGTTCAAAAAAAACACCCGTCGATTTGCCAATATTCAAAAGTTAAGATGTAAAACTGTGCCTCGATACCTAGCGAGTGTTTCCGGTCAAATAATGTAATCGGACGAAAAAGTTCGCTGTGGCGAATTTTCATATAAAAGATGTTAATAGCAATGAATTTGTATATATTGTCTAAATTATTAATATATATTTTTATTATTAATTTATCGCTTGATTATAAAGGAAGAATTGCAACAAGTTGCTCGCAAAAATATTTAAGAAATACAAAAAAAAGTTTAAATTACAAAGACTTTCAAAAACTAAAGTAAAAGAAATATGATTTTGAAAAATCTCATTCTAAAGAATTTTTTAAGAATTCAATACATTTAAAGAAACTAAATTCTTTTAAACTTTTGTCTTGTTTGAATGAAGTAGTTAATAAAACGTTTGATAAATTACATCCAGCGTGCATATGTGTATATCTTGCCTTATTTTAATTCATTACATTCGACTGGATACACTCACTATATGTTTTGACGCAGAATAATATAAATCTCAGCATATCATAATCGACAATTGACGAAAACGTTATTAGGAAGTGTTAAATGTGTGATCATAAGCGTGCTTGTAGCTGTGCGCGTCCAAATTAAGGACGAAGAATTCCATTAACAGCGAATCTCATTTAGTATATAGACAGAAGCGTAAAGACGTACTTGCAAAACGTGTTTTTTTTTCTTTTTTTTTTTTTTGACGGGTGATGAATAGCATTACAATAAGTGTTGTGTTTACAGAGTGCTGCCATTTTAAAAGCATCGTTCAAACAAAATATCATTCCTACTGTGCGATTTAATGTATGATTCAGTCAAATGTTGTATAAAAGCAATAAGTGCGTGATGCCTTGATATGAAAATTGAGTTACATTGTATTGCTCTTCCCCGTCTTTGTACCAATGACCATCATTGTACTTCTTTGTTTCTCGTATTTCCCCTTTATATTTCTTTGTTGCTATAAGTAGGCGATATCTCTCGCTTATTTATAAGATATTTGCCAAAGCAAAATAAAGATGAAATATTTTTGATAATTTAATACTCATGTTAAGTTTACACATGTAACTTGTAAGTTATTATATAATAATTTTAAGATTAAATTTTAATATGCATAGTAAATATGGATATTAATAGGAGTAAAATCTGAAACTCTGTAGTGTAATGCTATGTAATATTATTATTATATTAAAAAAATACAAAGCTATTTTAAATAGAATATCCACTATAGTATATTTTTTTACTGCGAGAAAAAAATCTTCATATTCTTAATCCTCATTTTAATTAATTTTAATTTTCTATTGATGTAGAGTGTGCGAGATTTTTAATAATTAGTAATATCTTAATAATGATACAACAATATCAATCTAAAATAAGTTATCATGAATATTGTCGCATAAATAAATTAAAGTGGGTACGCTAATGTTTTCTTTGTACTCTTAATGACTAATGTGTATCGGAACACACGCAAAACGATATAAATTAAGCCACACTTTGTGTTATAAGTTAATAAATTCAAGTTAGCACAAAACATATAAGCATACATGATGGACTTTGCATGGTACAAGTGTCGCCACAGACTTCTATGTATATATACTAGACTGCTAAGAGTAATGTGACAGATGAAGCCAAGGCAGCCATTTACAATTGGGCAGAATATAACCAGGTTGTCAATTAATACTTATTTTTGAAGGGAAAGCTGCAACATTTAATATAACTTTTATATTAAAAATATATACAAAATTTTTATATTAATACTGCAGATTCTCTTAAAAAATAAGTATCGATTGACAGCCTGGTTATATTCTGCCCAATTGTAAATGGCTGCCTGTCACATCGCTGTTAGCAGTCTAGGTATAATATAGAAGTCTGTCGCATTCCACGTCCCAAGTCCCAATGTTACATAGCTATGGCGTTTCACTTTTTCGGAGTCCATCGATCGATTCATGGTCAATCGACCATCAGTCTGATCTTCGGAAGAATCAGACTTGGTCACTCGATTTTTTTCTACGCGATTACGTTTGAACATCTCTTCGCAAGTGAATAGAAAAGTTGATTACGATAATTGTTTGATTGCCTAGTTGCATCATAGTTTCGCGCCATAATTGATCATTATCGTTTGTTTCGCGTAACGACGACACTACTGCGATTCTACAATTTTTAACAACGATGTCGCTATCGTAACGTATCGTTGCGCATTTATTTTGACATGTCAACGATAACGATATTGTTATTAAAAGTTACAGAATTGTAATACAAAGTACAGAGTCGAATCTCGTTGATCGAGATAAAAAAAGTCGAATTTTTGATCGGACATGTAAATGTTTTTCAATAAGTCCCCCTTGTTGCCTCGATTTCCAATCTACCTGCGATTATGAAGCTCTTCCCGCAAGCGGATACCCATGTGAACACCGAGGTGCCGGAAAGTACACCGATAGCAAAATGCACGTTCTCTCAGGTAAAAGGCTCATTACATCGAGATTATTCTCTCTCTTATTTATTCTTTTAAATTCTCTTTAGATTCTCGAAGTTTTTTAAAATGCTATGTATTTTCCTTTTTCTACTTTTTTTTTATTTTATTTATAAAAGGTTATTTTATAAAAGAAAATAAGATAGTATTTTCCACGTGACCGTAAATCACCGAAAACTTTCTTTGGAGCTTCGAATATCGATTAAATTACTACACCCGATCTCGATTCTCGGATCCCTCAAGATAGATTCTTAATAAACAGAGACAATACACAAAATCGCACGGGGAAAATATATATACAACAAATAATGCAAAACATATAATTCGTGTGTGTATATATAATTATATAAAGAATTATACGTAAATGTTTTTTTTTTTTACTTTTATTATACCAACTAAATTTATTTTGATCCCCAATTACGATTTATAAAAAAAATATATCTAAAGATATATACAACATAGTTTCTTATTCGTTTGCTACTAAAATTGCGTATTAATTGCGTTGCAAAGAGGAATATTTTTGTATTAAACAAAGTTTTTAATATATTTTTTCAAAAAGCAAGATGACTTTTTCAGAAATATTTATAAATAATTCTTATAAGAAAAGAAACAAATTCTGGAATAAAACTTCCAATAAGACAGAATATTCAAAATTTCAATACATTTACGAATGAAAACAATAGCTTATTTTCGTATTAAACAAGCTTGTTTTATTAATATGTATCCGACCAGCATGTTACGTGAAACATGAACAATCGCGCGCGAGAACAAGAGACTTATAAATTGAGAACAGACGCAGCCCTACAATATTGCACAGTGTTGCATAACGTAACAAACTAGAGACTATTTTTCTTATGTGTTTGCGTGCGACATTCATGGCCGGCAGTTCCATGGGCGCCGCCAGAATTTCTTAATTATTATCTCAGTTATTATCGAATTATCAAATTACGCGAACGCAAATTTTAATCTATATCAATCATATATACGCCGCCACAGATAAATGAAATGAGATCTCATACATTGTAAGAAGATATCGCGCATTGCGACGAAATAAAAAGAACTCACCACCTCTTGCATATATAATCAAAATTCTATTCATTAAAAAAATAGTAATCTCTTTAATGAGAAGTCCTTATTCTATTCGATTTCAACTCAGATATTCAGATATTCAGAAAGTTTTATATCTTCAGCTATTCTCTGCAAGAGATAAAATTTTGAAAACTTCATGAAAAATTTTTTTATCAGATTATTTGTATTCAATAAAAATAAAATTTTACATTTACATCTTTCTTGCGAAAATAATGACAAAAAAAATTATTGTAATAAAATAATGTGTTCTACGCCGCGAAACATTTACGTAAGAAATTATCTTTTTCTTAACGAAGGTGAGCAATTGTATTCTCGTCTGATATTAAAGGCACGTGTGGTTATAATATACCGCTGCATCCGTCGGGTTCTTTTACAAAGAACAATAAGCCACGATCAACGCGAATATTACGTACTAGCATTAATTAGACGAATAATCGAGATAAAATAAAACGGCGTGATGTGTCTAAATTCATGGAGCAACGATGATAAAATATAATTTCCGGCGTTCAACATTTATCAGTGATATAAAAATTGAGAGAAAGCCATTTATAAAATATATTCTGTATCCAAAGACTTGTGTTTTTTTTCAAAAGTTTTGTGTAAGCTTGCTAGAACCTATGCATCTTGATACAAACGATAATTATATACGATTTCTGAATTTTAAATTGACTAAAAACTAATTCAAAGCACGCAAAATACGAATAGAAATAAAAAAGAATAATTAAATGGCCAGGATAGCGTTCTTGCTATGAATAGGATAACGTTCTTGTTATCGCATTAAACGAATAATGAGATATTCGAATCACTATTGATATACGAAAATATACAATATATATAATATAATTCTGTTATTGTTTTTTTTCTATTATTTCTAATATATTTTATATGCATCCACTATAATTATTGCACGCTCCTTTTTCGTTGTTAATATGTTCATTTTAAATCATTAAAGGATAAATATTTCGATACTCTTGCAATTCGCCGACATTTACAAGCAGTATATATTGGTTTTGATTTGAACATTTAAAGCAAAATGATATAAATTTCTCGAGAAATTACATATAAAATAACACTCCTTTTTAAATATAATTTAAAAGCTATCTTAAAAAAACCCCAATTACGATTTATAAAAAAAATATATCTAAAGAAAAAAAGAGTGAAATTTCACGTCTGATCCTTCGTATTTTTCACAATGTTTTTTATATTTGTTCTCAGATATTGGCTGCATTCGCGGTATCGGTGGGTTCTATGCAAATTGGTTATTCACTTTCGTATACATCACCAGCGCTAGTATCCATGCGCGACAATACCACAACAAGCTTCGAAGTTACCCCACAAATGGTGAGTATGACATATTTCGAGGTCCAGTTCGAACTCTTAACTCTTGTCCAAGATCCGCGTCGAAAAAAATTATCGCACGCAAAATCATCGCGTTTATCAATCACGCGTTCGCGTGTCTGTAGGATCTTTAATCAAGTCTGCGAAGACTGTGTATATATCTCCGAGCGTTCTCTATAAACTCGGATAATAACATCGTCGTGTCTCGAATACTCTAGCATAAGAATTCGAATGTTGTCGAATACGAAGCGTGAAATTTCGGGCACGTTTGTTTTAAGATCCACTCTGTCGATTGTACCCGGGCTTATTTAACGATATCGTATTCGCGATTCTCGTATCATTTCGATTTTAAAACTAAATTCTGCAAAATTTTTTTTCAAAACTGGATATTTACTGCATGCTTAATATTCACTTGCGATGAATTTATAGCGATATTCTCTATCTCTATAAACTTGATATCTTACTATTCATCTATAAAATCCATAAAGTTATCGATTAAAGATATGCGCACATGTTACATTCTCTTCCTTTATATTTAAATTACAAATATCGCACATGTCCCAAAGTACATACAGTATATCGCATTTCATTGCAAATTGATTAGATTTACAATGTCAAGAGAAAAAAACTAAAAGAATTGTTTACTGGCGACACGTTGTATGACATCAAGTGCAAAGTGAAAGAAATTAAAGAACGACGCGAATGATAAAGCGTAATACGTCACGTTGTAAATTATATCGCGACCTCTCCGCGAGCGAATGAAAAGGTACGCGGCCTTTGCGTCACATTCGAAGGGTCAATGGATAATTGAAAGGTTTAACTTCTGAAATACGTCATCGGCCAGTGTGGTCAGGGGCACGATGACCCGATTACGATAGTATTGGTTATGGAACCGTTATGCCCTAATGAACGCGAAAGTGATTGGCCAGCTCGTCGGACACACCGCTCTTTCGTAAGACCCCGTGACGATGACGCTGGAAATTGCTTCCGGAAATTGAGATATGTAAGCGAGCGTGAATAGCCAATGCACGAAATGCACGATCGACTATTGTTTTGAGTTCTTCGAAATTGCTATAAAAAGTATAGTTAGACAATATAAAATTATCTTATAAAAACAAGAGATTTCTTTTTTTATCATATTTTTCATGTTGCACGAAATGCATAAAAAATATAATTAGACAAAACGATGACGCTGGAAATTGCTTCCGGAAATTGAGATATGTAAGCGAGCGTGAATAGCCAAGTGCGCTTTCGCGTGCTAAGCAAGCGTATTTAAGCCTTAAACGAACCGCGATAAAGAAAATGTATATCAATTGTGTACTCGAAAATGAAACCATAAATAAAATATTTAAAATTAATATATATTTAAAACAATTTTTTTTATCTCTCAGATATGTTGAGATAATCTTGTCGCGAGAGATGTACATTTATATCAAGATTATCCTCAATGAAGCATTTTAATTAATGCATTCTCTATATATGCAGTAATATATTCTATGCACATTTCAATTATTTTACAGCTGAAATTTATTTTTGACATTGAATATATGTATATATATATATATTTTTTTTTATCTAGATTGTGATAGAAAGAGAGATAGCGAAGAGTATAATTACTGATCACGGGAATTTATTTTTGCAACATCCAAAGTAATATATTTTTACACGTATCTAACATTAAATTTCAACTAAATGATTCAAACACAAGATATTCTCATCAATCATGTTTGAAAAAATGTTTCATTAAAATCCGTCCGATTATTTGGCATTAGCAATTATTGCAATAATATTACTCCGCATTTAACTTAATCAAACGTGTGGCACGAATTCCGTAACTCATTTTCTGTATGAATGTATGTCGACAATTATCGATATAATAACGAAATATATAATGTACGAAATATTTTACATTCAAAAAAAGATTTTAGATTTATTTCAACATTGCTTGCAATTAATTTTAACTAACTCTTCTAAAAAAAAAATGTATTATTTAATTATTTGATATTCAGTTGAAAATTAAAAGCTTGGTTCGATAAATGACGGTAAAATCTGAAAAAAAAAAAACGCTTGAAATGCATAAAAAATATAATTAGACAAAAATATATGTGACGGCCCTCTTCTTCCCCCTCCCTCTTTCTTTCTTTGTCTGGAATTGAAGCCACGTATCGCTTCGAAGGCAGAAAGTTAATACAATCATTATATTACGGAGTAGTACAGTGATCTACGAAGGAGACGGATCGCGAAAAGAAGGGATAGCCAGCCCCCCAGCATCGTTCCCTATATAAGACGGAACCCGACCCGGCGAATCCGTCCACGAGTGTCAATAGCTATATTATACCGTGACATCGAAAAAACTTCCATTGTCGTGTCAGTGCGCGGATCGGTAATAACCCGGCTCATTTGAATTAAAAGTCGTATCGGTATCGGAATCACGCGATCTCCAATCGCGAAGTTTCCTTCGCGCGAATAGAAAGTAAACTTCTCGTCTCTTATCCCGATCATTGATCTGATCCTTGAAAGAATCAGACTTGGTCACTCGATTTTTTTTTACGCGATCGCGTTTGAAAACTTTTTCATAAGTGAATAGAAAAGCTATTACGATCGATTGCCGATAGTTTTCGCGTCATAATTGGAGAGAATTGCTACCGTTTGTTTCGCGTAACGACGATACTACTGCGATTCTGTAACTTTTAACAATGATGTCGTTATCATGACGTATTGTTGCGCATTTATTTTGACATGTCAACGATAATGTCAACGATATTGTCATCAATATTGTCATCATTAAAAATTACAAAATCGCAGTAGAGAGCCTCGATTGTTGATCAATTATTGATCTTTGATCGAGATAAAAAAAAGTCGAATTTTCGGTCGGACGTAAACAGTTTCTCAATAGGTCTCCCTTGTTGCCTCGATCTTCGATCTATCCGTGATCATGAAGATCCTTTTGCGAGCGGATACCCATGTAAACATCGAGTTGCCGGAAAGCACGCCGGTAGCAAAATGCACGATTTCTCAGGTAAAAGGTCCATTACATCGCGAGATTATTTTTCTCTTTTCCTCATTTATTCCTTCCGATTTTCTTTAGATTCTTGAAGTTTTTTTAAAGTGCGATCTACTTTTCTTTTTCTATTTTTTGGTTATTTTATAAAAGAAAATAAGATAGTATTTTCCACCGTAATTTGACCGTAAATCACGGAAAACTTTCTTTGGTGCGGCTTCGAATATCGATTAAATTACTACACCTGATCTCGATTCTCAGATGCTTCAAGATAGATTCTTAATAAACAGAGACAATACACCAAATCGCACGGGGAAAATATATATTCAACAAATAATGCAATATATGTAATTCGTGTGTGTATATGTGTATATATAATTATATAAAAAATATATTATACATAAATATGCTTTTTTTGGCCGTGAAATTCACGATCGGACGGCCGCTTTTTTTCTACGTGACAGAGTTGTCAATTGGATTTATATTGACGCCTGTTTTTGACAGAGTCTTCCTTATCACACCAACTGAATTTATTTTGATCCCCAATTACGATTTATAAAAAAAATATATATATGTAAAGAGTGAAATTTAATGTCTAATCTTTTATAATTTTCATAATGTTTTCTATATTTGTTCTCAGATATTGGCTGCGTTCGCGGTATCGATGGGTTCTCTGCAGATCGGTTATGCGAGTTCGTATACATCACCAGCGCTAGTATCCATGCGCAACAATATCACGACGGACTTCGAAGTTACCCCACAAATGGTGAGTACGATATTTTGAAGTCCAACTCTTAATTCTTGTCCAAAATCCGCGTCGAAAAATTTATCGCATGCGAGATTATTGCGTTTATCAATCACGCGTCCTGCGCTAGCGTGTTTGTAGGGTCTTTATTCAAGTCTGCGAAGACTATGTATGTATCTCCGGCGAGTGTTCTCTATAAACGTGCTCGGATAATAACATCGTCGTGTCCCGAATACACTCTAGCATAAGAATTCGAATCTTGTCCGTGAATGCGGAGCGCGAAGGTTACGAGATTTCGGGCACGTTTGTTTCAACATCCACTGTCGTTCGTACACGAGCTTATTTAACGATAGCGTATTCGCGATTCTCGTATCTTTTCGAGGAATTTTAAAACTAAAATCTGCGAAACTTATTTTCAAAACTGGATATTTACTGCATGTTTAATATTCATTTGTGAATTTATAGCGATATTCTCTATCTCTATAAAGTTGATATCTTACTATTCTACCTATAAAATCCGTAAAGTTATCGATTAAAGATATGTGCACACGTTACATTCTCTTCCTTTACATCTAAATCGTAAATATCGCACATGTTCCAAAGTACATACAGTGTCGCATTTCATTGCAAATCGATTGATTAAATTTACAATGTCAAGGAAAAAAAATTTAAAGGAATTGTTTATCGGCGACACGTTGTATGACCAAGTGAAAGAAGCTAAAGAATGACGCGAATGATAAAATAATGCGTCATGCGTGTAAATTATATCACGACCTCTCCGCGAGCGAATGAAAAGGTACGCGGCCTTCGCGTCACATTCGAAGGGTCAATGGGTAATTGAAAGGTTTAACTTCTAAAGTGCGTCATCAGCGCGTGGTCAGGGGCACGATGACCTGATTACGATCGTATTGGTTATGGAACCGTTATGCCCTCATGATCGCGAAAGCGATTGGCCAGCTCGTCGGACACACCGCTCTTTCGTAAGACCCCGTGATCGATGACGCCGGAAATTAATTCCAGATATGTAAGCAAGCGTGAATAGCTAAGTGCGTTTCCGCATGCTAGAAAAGCGCATTTAAATGACGGTAAAATCTGAAAAAAAAAAAACGCTTTTACTATATGAAATATATATTGAATCTCAATTTCATGTATTGCAGGGTATGTGGATTGGATCAATTATGCCGCTGAGCGCGCTTGTCGGTGGTATCGCCGGTGGACCATTCATCGAATCATACGGAAGGAAAACCACGATAATGGGCACGGCGTTCCCGTTCTTCGGAGGTAAGATCATCGAAACACAGATTTTTACATAACAAGATACAGTTAGAATGCGAGTCGATGTAAACAATATAATGTTATGAAGCGAGAGCTTTCTCACCCACACACTTATTAAAATTATTTAAATTTGCTGCACAGAAATGTTTTTTTTTTTATTACATCAATACGCGAATATGTTACAGCGTGGATCTTAATTTGGTTGGCTCAGAATATCCCGATGGTGTTAATTGGACGCTCGTTATGCGGATTTGGCGTAGGAATCGCTTCCTTGGCGTTTCCCGTGTATTTGGGTGAAACGATACACGCGGAAGTGCGCGGTGGACTTGGCTTAATGCCCACTGTCTTCGGTAATGGCGGTAAGTGAAGTTAACGATGTAATTCCAGTTAAAAAAATTAATTTAAAAATATAATTTGATCGATTTAAACATTCGTCAATTGATCGATCTCCTTATATGTATAGAAATCAACGTATCAATTTACCATTTCACACGCGTTTACTAGAAAAAATATCAAAAATATCTCGATAAATATAAATTAAATATATATATAT